AAACTAGCAAACCAGTGAACCAAATGTTCACCAAAAACTGATTTAAAAAAAAAAATGTATTTAATTAATTGAGAGCTTCGGAGATTTTGTGTGGTTTCGTTTGAAATTCGTGATTTCTCGAAAACCGGAAGTGCTACGTTACTCAAATCCGGGTTGTAGTCTTATCAGACTATCCTTAACTTATAACTTAAATATTCTCTTTATCTATCTCTTACGGTTTGGCCGCTGAAACAGCACCACAGACAGACGGACGGACGGACGGACTTGTCTAATAGATAAGAGATATTGTCCAAAAAAATTTTAGGGGTGCGTACGTAGTGTTCTATCAATTTCCTGGGATAACATTCCTCCTAACCCATATGAGAACACTACGTTACAATATCCAATAGTTTGAATTTTGGCGCGAAGGCGCATTGTAGATTTCAGAACACTACGTTACAGGTGGACAACCATTATCACTTAAGGATATGAAAAAAATAGATAGTAGCCGATTCTCAGACCCACGGAATATGCATATAAAACTTCATAAGAATCAGTCAGGCCGTTTCGGAGGAGTATGGTAACTAACATTGTGACACGAGAATTTTATATATAAGACTAGCTGACCCAGCGAACTTCGTACCGCCCTAAAAAAATAGGGGTTGTCCAGCGGACAAAATTGTGAATCTAAACCATTCTCAGATCCCCTTGAACACACACAAAAAATTTCATCAAAATCGGTCCAGTCGTTTAAGAGAAGTTCAGTGACATACACACTCACAGAAGAATTATATATATAAAGATAATCTAAACGCTTGATGCTTTAAAATCATGAAAATTTAATAATGACAATTTAAAACATTCGATTCTCATTACCGGGACATTGTAAGCAGGGCATTAATTATCTCGTCCCAAAGGAAGTGTTCTGATTCAATTCACAATTTAAGATCCTTCATTATCGAGATCCTATTTAGAGATAAGATTATTAACTGAGCATTAAAATGGGACGGCCGGTTTTAATATAAATTGATAAGCTTACAGATTCAATATGAAACCGTTTCTGTACGTCTGACAGCGGTACCCTTAGTGATACATCATACAAAAATACATACATCCCTAAATTTTCAACTTTCTACCACCAACCCCTATTTTTTTATGGCGGTACGAAGTTCGCTGAGTCAGCTAGTAATATATCTATAATATAATCAGACACTGTATATTATTGTTAGATATGTATTTATGTATGTATATATTAGTGTGTACCTATTATATATGTTGCTATAATGTATATTTATATATGTATGTATGTGTAGGTATAAGTAATTAATGCTTTTTAATGTTTTCTCTGTCCGTTTTCTGCCGTTTCATTTTCTCTGCACCTTCTTTCCGGTTGACTGGTAGAGAATGCCATACTGGCATTAAGTCCGCCATTTGTATTGTAAAGGCAATAAAGATAATAAATAAATAAATTCACGTTTAAACGGTTGGAGCGATTTTAATAAAATTTGGTATGGAGTTAGTTGACACCCTGGATTAACACATAGGCTACGTTTTACTGCGGGAAAATATTCCTCATAAACCGCGGGTAACACCGCGGGGCACAGCTAATAAATAAATAAATGAGTGCATCTATTCTTGTTGTTTTATTTAATGAATGACGTGCGTGGAGACCTAAGACACAAATAAAATGCACTCATTAAATTACTAGCTGTTGCTACTCAAATTTATCTTGTTCCCAGTCCATCCTGGAAGCTTGATACATAGCTATTAGAGATGGGCCGACTAGCCACCGACTAGTCGGGAAAGACAACTATTCGGCATCGTTTATAGTCGGCGATTAGTCGGCGACTATTCGGTAAAACATGCCGATTCTAATCGGCACATTACAATGAAATAAAACTCAAAACTTATGCTTGTTTTGAATATTTGAACAGTACATACTCTAGTATTTAAAGTTACCTAAAATATTAAAATATAAAAAAAAAATAAGGTAACATAAATAAGAATTAGGAACTGAGGAATCTGTCAGTAATTCTGATAACACAATGAATATCGAACACAACAAAATAGCAATGGGAAGTAGGTAAGTATGTATTAATTGAGTAAAATCTTAAGTTCTAGCGAGTCTTAAAGAAGTGCATAGGTATTTTTTTGTTTTGAGTTTAGTCGGCAAATATTATAGTCCGCCCATCTCTAATATCTATTGACGCTTTAATTTTATTAGAGAATGTATCCAATATCTACGCACTATCTATAAATACCCTTGTCTTCAGTATTTAAAGGAAATTCCATTAGTGGCCTCAGCCTCGAATACTCTGCCCTAAAAGGGATGGAAACGCAAAATGTCACTTGGTATTATAATTATGCGAAATTATATATACATATAATTTAGGGTGTACAACACATAGGGACAGCCGATTAAATTGGATATCGTGTTTTACTCTTGTATTTTTCATCATCATCAGTCTATTAATGTCCTCACTGCCGGGGCACAGGCCTTCCCTATGGATGGAATAGGGAGATTGGGCCATGACCCACCACGCGGGCCCAGTGCGGATTGGCGGGTGCTGACGACTGCAGACGCAGCCGGGACCAACGGCTTAACGTGCCTTCCGAAGCACAGAGGAACTGGAGATAGAAGATTTCTGGTCACCCATCCAATGGCCAACCACTGCGAAAGTTGCTTAACTTCAACGATCGCAGCCGAACGCGCTAACCGCTTGCGCCATGGAGCTCCTCCTTGTATATTTACTTCCTTGTACTTTCTATCACGTAAGTACTTATTCAACAAACGGGGCATAACAAAACCATTCGCCGAACTATAAACATGTCCGGACGGCCATTTTGGAGCGCGATCTAAATTTACGAGGCCGCCATTTTGTGGGGGCTTTCTTTCCTGGCAATTTGACGCGTCGACTCGCTGAGCCGGTAGAGGTCGCCACTTGATGGCTAATTTGGCGGGAAACGTTGCTCTGATAGGCGTTTACGCGCGTAACATATTACTGGTACGTGTAAATATTAGTTTTTAGTATCAAATTAGGAGATTTTTATCGATAACTAGTGGCCCGCCCTCGCTTCGCTTCGGTGTAGAGCTGTAGTGTAGACTAAAATGACTCTTCATATAATTATAAAAAAAACCTGAAAATTTGCCTTTTCCAAACTTCTATTGACATCACGTCACTCAATTGTTTTGCCCTCCCGGAACCTCTTCACTAACATTTGAAATTTATAATCGTTAATGCTGTTTAGAACCACGCGTTTACGCTTGTATTCAAAGTTTTGGCTGAGTTAGCTATCCCAGAGGAGCTCGATGGCGCAAGTGGTTAGCGCGTTCGGCTGCGATCGTTGAAGTTTAGCAACTTTCGCAGTAGTCGGTCATTGGATGGGTGATCAAAAATTTACTATCTCGAGCTCCTCCATGCTTCGGAAGGCTCGCTAAGCCATTGGTCCCGGCTGCATCTGCAGTCGTTAGCACCCACCAATCCGCACCGGGCCCGCGTGGTGGGTCATGGTCCAATCTCCCTATTCTATCTATAGGGAAGGCCTGTGCCCCAGCAGTAGGGACATTAATAGTATAATGATGATGGTATACGAGTCTCAGGGCACTCTGTTCATGATCTCCAATACTATACAGTAGATAAGATATTTTTATCAAATATAGTGGACATTGGCTAAATCGCCGATAAATCATCACAGGAGGAATTGAATTACTACTAACAATTTATATTGTATCCGTCGCAGTTTTCAGAATAATTTGGGATGTTATTCCATGAGGACAATCAACCGCCTTTCAAATCATCCTAAGTATATAAATAATATATAGTCAGACCCGCCCTTCCCTAATCCCATCCCATCAGGGCCCCGCGATCGATAGGGCCCCCCCCAGATCAAATACAAAGTCCCTTGTTCCTAAAGAAAAGTTTACTAGAAAAAAAAACCACGCGGACCAGGCAGCGGACGGGACTCGAACCCGCATCCTTCGCTATCCGGGCGAATGCACTGACCATTATGCTACCACGGCCCTATTAGCCGCGTCGAAATTTTCCTAGCCTTAAGCTGCAAGGCAGCGCCATCTCTTCGCATTGTAGGTAACCCACAATGTCAAATGAATACTTTTTGAAGTATTAAACATTTGAAAAAAGAAATAGCAATTACAGTTACGATTTTATTTATTTTTTAAGCATTTAACTGCTAGATGCCTGGTCCGCGTGGATTTTTTTCTAGTAAACTTTTCTTTAGATTTAAACATCTAGCAGTTAAATGCTTAAAAAATAAATAAAATCATAATCCATAGTTCCTGTTAAATCACCAAATGGAAGTCATAGGGTTCATAGGATCCCATTATCCTAATATGCCCAGGGCCTCCAATAGGTCAAAGACGGCACTGTATATAGTACTCAATAGTATGGAAAGACTAAAACGCGCTAGACCCCCGAAAACCCCCCACGACAACGGCTAACTAGAGCCGAGGTCCGAGTCTCAGAGACTAGTTGATCCTACTCCCTCAGGTGCTCGTGGTCTAGAGGTCCCAGTACTAGAGAGGGCTATCTAGGCTCTAGCTGTGCCGACCTCTGAGGGTAATAGTGCTAATAAGGCTCATATTTGAGTGGACCGCAACATTTGCATTGGTATTTAGGTATTTTAGGTCGAGACTACATCGAGCAACGGCTGATAAGTTCTAATTAAATTTGTTAGCAGAGTGTTGGTGACCCGGGCGTTTTTCCCCGCCCTCCACGACAACGGCTAACTAGAGCCGAGGTCCGAGTCTGAGGGACCTCTAGTTGTGATGACCCCCTCAGGTTTGAGTGGTCTAGAGGCTCCAGACGGAAAGGAGACTCCCCCCGTGGGGAGACGCCATCCGCCTGGAATACCTCTAGAGGCACTCGCCAATTCTCGGCTTGAGGTCCCCTTAGGATCTCACCGTTCCCAAATCCGGTGACGCTGTATAGGTATCTGCGACCAACAGCATACACACTCGAAAAAAAATCGTGAAAGTATCTTAAAATCTATTTAACACTCACCTGAGGCCCAACATCAGTGATCTGCAGGTTGTAGCCGTCTACCAGTCGGAACCGCTCATCTCTGGTCACCATCAGACTGGCAGCCGTGAGGACTGCTGGACCCCTCCTCCATAGCAGCACGAGAGAACCTGACAGTAGAAAATAAAAAAATACATTGAAGAATTGAGTCACTGTTTTAATTGACTTCTGTAGGAAGGCCAAAGGGGAAGATCTTCCTCCGAGCTGGGTGGTGTTAGCTCGGGGGCCGCGGCCCAGCTGATGTTGGTCGGGCATCGTATATATGAACTGTTGGCTACCGAATTTTACTTGCGCGATGAAGGCTTCCTTACTTTGTGAACGCAGCGCCGGTAGTGCCATCTCTTGAGGAGGCGTAAGATTGTTTCCTCTATGTTAGTTATATGTGGGGCGTGTAGATGTCGCCGCCACACTTCAAAAAGGATCTTCTCACTTAGGCCTGTATTACAGAATGACAACTAAGTGTTGGTCTATACTTGAGTACAGTTAGAAAGGGATATCGCTATGTGTTTTATATAGCGACATCCCTTTCTAACTATGCTCAAGACTAGATCAATCTCTGAGAATCTTTCTATATTACGGGCCTTAGTCAGTATATTTTTTATTATGAACACAAATATGAACTTATGTTAACTACAGTATTATAGATTTTCTTCATTATTACACATCCGTGACTGCAGTACAAATGCCCATATTCATCACACATCACATTTGAGATACTGTGTTCATACACAAATATCTGTACCCTTAGCACAGACGAATATCGAATTCGAATAGTTTGCGAGTGCGAAATGTCATTCTCAAGTATGCACTGATTTTTAGTTCTCGTTACGAGTACGTTGTGGCGCTGCTGTTCTACTTTCTATGAAAAGTTTGACATTAATAATAATAATAATAAAAATAATAATGTTTATTCATCAAACCTTATAAGTACTACTAAGTTTTAAATAATGATAAAGAATGGTACTCACCTAAGTTTTGGACTTGACATGGTAGAAGAAGCGTGTCCCCGACTACTGTTCTGAACGAGTGGCCTCTAGATAGAAACCGTGGGCCATCATCTGTAAACAAAACATTATTTTAATGAATAATTATGATAGAAAGGAAGAAAGAAAAAGCTTTTATTGACCTTACACAAACGTAAGTAAGAAAAAAATAATAAATATAGCAATAAAAATAAAAAAAATAAACAAACAGAGAGTAAAAATATGGAAAGAGAAGAAAGGCCAATCAGGCCTTAGCTTGATGCTGTTACAGTGGGAAGGGAATATTCCCACCATAACAGCACTGGTATTCTGACAGGGCTTGTACCTACGAGATTGCTAGAGACAAAAACATAAATTCTACAATGGTGTAAAAAAAATACATATAGATATAATAGTATACATAAACTGAGTTACATAAATAATTAAAGTTTATAAGATTGATAATAAATAAATATTATAGGGATTCGAGAGAAAGGTTTAATATATGCCCGAGAACAAAAAACTACAGTCTTTAGTGAAGCGGCGGCGCGAGGGCGGGGGGCGAGTCATCCTTACCAGTTAAAATATTTATTAATGACTAGCGGCCCGCCCTCGCTTCGCTTCGGTGCAGAGCTGAAGTGTAGACTACAGTTTTTGTTCTTAGGCTTGTATTATACACAATGACATTCATCTATGATTCTTCTTATACCTGCATGCAAAGTCTCAGCCCGATCGGTTTAAAATTGACAAAGTTTCATACAAACTTTCATTCCCTTTTTTATCCCCTTGGGGATAGAATTGATCAAAATCCTTTCTTAGCGTATGCCTACGTTATAACATCTACCTGCATGCCAAATTTCAGCCCGATCCGTCCAGTGGTTTGAGCTGTGCGTTGATAGATCACTATGTCAGTCAGTCAATCACCTTTGAGTTTTATATGTTGTTAGTACGGTAAGTTGGTGATTACAAATCGAGTAGAAGAATATAAACCCGAGACGAATTCGAGGAGCGTGCGGTAATGTTTTACCGCACGCTCCGTTCTATGGCCCGTAATTTTGAACTTTCAAAAAATAGATTTTTTGTGCATATTTTTGTTGAAAAGGTATTTATTTATTTGTTGGAAGATTTACAGACAAGTAGTATCATTATTTTTGCATAATAATTACACATATGCTATAAACAAATCTCCACAATTATGTACCAAATTAGAATAACTGAAAAGGTAGGTATATATTAGAAGAGGCTCCAAGGAGGTTCGATCTAAATAAAAAAAAAGGTAAAGGATACGCATGGCGCCTAGAATGGGCGCGTGTGGTAAAACGTTTTACCGCACGCGCCCATACTTTTGACGCCGTGCTTAAGTTTAGGTTTAATAGAATCATGCCAGAATCGACAACAATATCAAAAAAAAATGTTGCGTCTATGGAGTTGATGCTTCACAGTCGAACGAATTTCAATTATGAAGATATTTTGAATTAAACATTGCTTGGCAAAACCCTTAACAATACTGTTGTTAGAAATAAGCTCTGAGCATTGAAAAATTAGCACTCAATACTAAAAAAAAAGAAATCCCGCACCACAGCCGCGAAGTTTTCTCAATTGGCAATGTTCACGGCAAAAGAATGCCAAACGCGGTGAATTTATATTCAGTTGGGGAAAGTTAAACAATAAATTTAATAAGTGGCTGGTTTTCTGCGGTCGTTCGAACGCAGGCACCATTCATCTTAAGAAGAGAGCTGATTCTGATCAAGTGCGATGTGGTTGCTTTATTTCCTCTATAGGGGTTGAAGTTCTCATAGTTAAGCGCTTATTCCACCTGACTAAATTCAGACGTCCTAGTTAGGACCCTAAAAAGAAGCTTCTGATTACACTTGACTAATTTAGTTACTGATTTAGTCAGTTACAAGCGTGAGGCGAATTCAGTCGGACTTTTTCGTCATGGCTCCAGTCCTGTCAAAGCAACGAAAAATCTGTCTTCTCGTAGGCCTGACGGTTGGCTCAGTAAAAATAAAATTAAGTAAAAAACGAAAAACGTGGATGAAAGAATATTAATATTATTTATGTAATTTTCGTTACTAAGATACGGCATATTTTAATACAATTCGATTATGTTACTCATAACTTCTTTTTCTTTTACCGCCGTCATCGCACACTCGCGTAATTCGCAATCGTAGACACAACACGTCCCCACGCAGTGACTGAAGCATCTAAACGCTTTACATTACGCTAGCGTAGTACGCTATTATTACACCTTCCTAAATCGCGTTCTGATTAGGATACTAAATGATTTAGTCAGTCAGAAGTTACACTTCTTCTGAATTATGGTGCTAATTAGGATCCTAACTTCCTAAATGCTATTTCACTTGACTGAATTAGTTACTGAATGATTTAGAATGTCTGAATTTAGTCAGGTGGAATAAGCGCTTTAGCCCGTCGCTCACATGTTTTTGAAGTGAAACTTCGTGTCGGAAGAGGTGTAAATGGAAAAATTATGTAATGTGTAAATGAAAAAATGGGAAGAAAGCGTCACGAGCGACACATGACTATATATATTATACTAGCTGTCCCAGCGAACTTCGTACCGCCATAAAAAAATAGGGGTTAGTGGTAGAAAGGTGAAAATTTAGGGTTAGGATGTATTTTGTAAGATGTATCATAAAAAATAAGAAAAACATTGTGGGTTACCTACAATGCGAAGAAATGGCGCTTGCAGCCTAAGAATGGCTAGAAGAATTTGGACGCGGCCGTCAGGGCCGCGGTAGCATAATTGGTCAGTGCATTTGCCCGGATAGCGAAGGGTGCGGGTTCGAGTCCCGTCTGCTGCCTGGTCCGCGTGGATTTTTTTCTACTTTTATTTTCTTTAGATTTAAACACCAAGCAGTTACATGTTTAAAAAAATAAAATTATAAGAACAATTTTTTTTTCCAAAACAAAAATATAAGATTGGACCACCCTTAACATTTAGGGGGATGAAAAATAGGTGTTGTCCGATTCTCAGACCTGCTGAATATGCATATAAAATTTCACGAAAATCGGTGGAGCCGATTCGGAGTAGTTCAATTACGCACACCGTGACACGAGAATTTTATATATTAGATGTACATATGAGTAAGAAGCTCGATGCCGCGGGTGGTTAGTGCGTTCGGCTGCCATCGTTGAAGTTAAGCAACTTTCGCAGTGGTCGGTCATTGGATGGGTGACCAAAAATCATCTATCTCGAGTTCCTCCGTGCTTCGGAAAGCACGTTAAGCTGTTGGTCCCGGCTGCATCTGCAGTCGTTAGCACAGCTGCCAATTCGCAATGGGCCCGCGTGGTGGGTCATGGCCCAATCTCCCTATTCCATCCATAGGGAAGGCCTGTGTCCCAGCAGTCTGTCCCCAACATTAATAGGCTGATGATGATGATGATAATGATATACGCGTTGCGTGCGCTGCTAAATTCACCTATGCCTTATGCACCGCCTAATATTAAGATATTTAAAAAATAAGTTTCACTTCAGATTTTTTGAAGTGAAAACTTCTTTAGCGGCATTCTACACTTTGTTTTTGTATGTTTAAAAAATGTTAAACTCGCGTCAGGTTAAACACGTGGGCTGATCGCATCATGACACACAATAAAATTGGAAAGGTTGTTGACTTTCAATATATTGGACTAAATCTCTATCTAGGACGTCCACGTGGCAGCTTTATTGCGAAGAAAATACATTTTTTTTATAATAGATGTCGCTAGTTGCGCTTAAATGTGATTCATGTAAGTTGATTTCTTTACAATAGATGTCGCTAAGTGAGCTTAAACGTGATTTTTTCTGAGAGATAAACTTTTTTAATGTAATATAAATCTTCATGTTTGTGTACGACAGCGCTATAAATAAATATTGTATTCTACCACATACATGATAGTACTTTTATACTGGTAATTAAAGCAATTCGTGCAAAATATTCCCTAACCATTCCAAAATATCAAAAATGCACAACGTTAATATTCAAGTTTTCACTTCTGCCGGCACTCCCGGAGTACAACCCGTCGTTTGTTTTATGTCATAATACTGAAACCATTCTTAATATTCTTGTTAAATACGCATACCAAAATTGATACTTTATTTTTCATACTTTCAAATAAAATATTATGCGATTCAATTTCCAGTGCAAGGTTGAGGCTAATTGCTACTCTAAAGGAATCTATTATAAATGAAAATTCTGTATTATAATGTACAAGATTAAACAATTAAATTGCAACATGTACGGGCCCGCACCGGAAGTGGTGTAACGACCTGCTGATCCGTTTCCGGCGCGCCCGCCGCCATATTTATAGTTTCCCGCGGTTAGCGTTTTGTTGTGCCGTTAAGTAGTCTTATAAAATGCGTTTCGTTTGGCAGTAATAAAGTGTTATTACACAAGAACAAAAGGAATTTTGGCTTTCCTACAGCTAGAGTTGTCGTTTTCAATTTTCTTTGGGATATTTATACTTATTGTGTTAATGAGGAGCTCGGTGGCGTTCGGCAGCGATTGTTGAAGTTAAGCAACTTTCGCAGTAGTCGGTCATTGGATGGGTGACCAAAAATTTGCCATCTCGAAAATTACTTAAGCCGTTTGTCCCAGCTGCATCTGCAGTCGTTAGCACACATCAATCCGCACTGGGCCCGCGTGGTGGGTCATGGCCCAATCTCCCTATTCCTAGGCCTGTGCCCCAGCAGTGGGGACAATAATAGGTTGATAATGATTGTGTTAACGCAAAGGACTGAAAATTCTTTCGTATGTTCCAAAAATTTTAATGCAAACCAGTAGACTTCTCTATGGCATCATGACAGTCTATTCCAAGTCTATCCTATCATTCCATATAAAACATGTTTAAATATTGAACTATTACCTAATTAGGTTTTATATTCGAAGAATCATGCCCTATTTAGGCCCATTTTATACAAATATAATATACTTAGTATAATAATAATAGTAATATTAAATTATATTGATAGTAGCGAAGACCTCGCTGATACACATTCGATCTTGTACTATGCGGCTGTTACGGCTTGTCGTGTGGCGCATGTCAAATTCCCAAATACTGACATAGCGACACGCGTTAGACAGGCTGTACCAGCC